CCTGCTGAAAGATGCCTCTGAATACTTGTCTGGCCTCCCAGGCTTTTTGGGGCTGGCTGGGAAGAGGTGGCTGGCATCCAGAGGTGCTACAGGAACTAAATAATTTAGCACATGTTGTTTCACCCCACTTGTGGGCGACACCAAGCTCCCCTCTACAATACACAGAGGTAGGAATTGAATTCTCCACTACAGAAGCTCCATTGCTTTCCTGACAGCCTGGGCTCCTGCTGTGCCTCTGTAAGAGGCTTTTGGGCAAGGCAGGGGTAAAATGTCTCTTGTGCTGCTCAGGAGCACACGGCACCATGTGTTGCATTTAAAACCTCCAGTAATGGTACCTTCAGCACAGGAATGAGCTGTAAGATACTGTGGCTCTATGCATGTTGGTAACATGCCAAAAGCCCATTCCCTGCCATCACTCTGCAACAGCCTGCTCTGAGAACCTGCCCCATCACACAGCTCTGCAGCTGCACATGAATGCAAAGGTCAGGCCAGTGGCAGCACAGCTGCAGGTGCTACTGAATGGCAAAATGTGGCATGTGTGCAAGAGCTGGAAAAGATTTGGGAGCCTTGGAAAAGTCACTTTGTGTACGAGCTCGTGAAGAGAGGGAGAAATTACAATCTCATTGTCTGCAGGAGCAGAGTATGGGACTTGATCCGGATCCTGTCAGTTCAGTATACACAGAAGGCTGAGGCTGTCCTCCTCAAACCTCTGGCCCTCCAAGGGGACTGGAGGCTTCCTTCATAGCAACAGGGCCCTTGCCTCACAAGTGCTGTTCTCTTGGTTGTGCTCTCACACACACGCTGTACCCGCATGGCAGGCTGGGGTTGGTTGCAGGATTTTCTGTCTGGCTACCTGGGTGCTGTCACTACAAGGACTTTCCAGCACCTTTCATTATTCCCTAATGAACACAGCTGCACATCACCTGCCCAAGCAGCAGGGTTGCTCAAGTGTTAGATGACTTTAATTCTTGCAAACGAAAGCTCTAACTAATCATGAGGCTTAAGTCTTTATTAAACATGACACCATCTAGGTACTCAGACTTGTTTTCTTCTGATGCCCTTGTGCACTGGTGCAGGTACTGGATTGAGGGTGCTGAACTATTCACGCAAGAGCAGCTTCTGCATTCCTGGGGGCTTGCTGTGGTAGGAAATGGAAACAAGAAAGCAGCTTGTGTCTCACTGAGATGTAGTGACAGTGTCTGTAGCTTGCTAATAGTTTGATGCATACCCTGTCTCTGAGTTGTTGTCCCTGTGTGCAATTATGGGACTAAAATGTCCTTTAATGGCATGTTTCATAACTTTACTTCATAATTCTTAATGTTCAGCCACCAGGAAAATTGGTGCTTGGCTTGTTTTGAAAGTCACTTTGCTGGGAACAGACAGGATGGGTCACAAGTAATTAACACAAGAGAGAAGCTGCTTTATCCATCTGTCCTTCCATTGGAAGTCCCTAATACATGAGGAGTTTGAAGAGTGAGATCCTAACCAGATTTGTCTGCATCCAGCAGAACTGTAATGCTCAGCAGTTTTTTTAAAAAAGCCTTGTTGGGGCTGAGCCCTGGATCAGCACAGCTCTCTGGGCACTGGTACTGGGGGCCTGTCATGTTTGGGGATGTGCTGGTCCAGAGCACTGGCTTTGCAGTCTGCAAATCTGGCCCAGAGCTGAGGCCCAGGCCCTAACAGGAAAGGGATCTGTCCTTTTCCTAAGAAATCAGCAGTAAAAAGGGTTCTGTAGGCTGTGTCCCTTGTGAGAAGTGAACCCTGCATGCCATACATGGTGCTCCGGCAGTGCCTTCCAGCCCCACACCATGTTCACCCCAACCTTCAGCATCACCCCTGATATGCAAGACAAGGCCATGTTGCCTTCCCAAGATGTATTTTGAAGAAACACCACAAACTTGAGGAAAAGCTCAGAAAGAAGCAGGACTTTAACGAATAAAAGAGTTTCTGGGCTAACTAGAACTGCTGGCAAAGTCTTCCCCTACTATTCACTTTCAGAAACCTTCAGCTATTAGACATATGTCAGGATGAAAACAAAACCACTGGAAAATGTGACACCTAACTCCTGACAAGACAGCTTTGAAGAGAATGAGTAGATTCAGGGAGCAGGCTTTTGTACAGCCTGTCTGATCTTCTAGAGCCCTGCTCCAATTTAGGAGTGTTTTTCTCCTATTTAAACAGTGGTAGATGTATGCGAATAGTAAATGGTATTTTTATGATGAGACAG